TGTCTGGGATCAAGTATTACTCTAAGGATGTGGGTGATCATGTAAGGGTTTTTGAAAAGTGTCATTATATGGTTTACAATTTAAGATCACTTTTTTCACCAATTTTTTTGCATTCTTTTTTATCGAAGTATCGTCAGTTTACAATTTTGTGTTGATTTGTTGTGCACAGCATAATGTTTCAGTCATACAAATACATACATATATTCATTTTCATATTCTTTTTCATTATAGGTTACCACAAGATGTTGAATATAGTTCCCTGTGCTATACAGTATAAACTTGTTTATCTGTTTTATATATACTAGTTAGTATCTGCAAATTTCAAACTCCCAATTTATCCCTTCCTACTCCCATTACCCCCAGTAACCATAAGTTTGTTCTCTATGTCTGTGAGTCTGTTTCTATTTTGTGAATATGTTTATTTGTGTCTTTTTTTAGATTCCACATATAAGCAATATCATATGGTATTTTTCTTTCTCTTTTTGGCTTACTTCAGTTGGAATGACAATCTCCAGTTCCAACCATGTTGCTGCAAATGGTATTATTTTATTCTTTTTCATGGCTGAGTAGTATTCCATTGTATGTATATATCACATTTTCTTTAGCTAATCATCTGTTGATGGACATTTGGATTGTTTCCATGTCTTGACTATTATAAATAGTGCTGCTGTGAACATTGGGGTACATGTGTCTTTTCAAATTATATTTTTCTCTGGATATATGCCCAAGAGTGGGATTGCTGGATCATATGGTAAATCCTACATAAACAGAACAATGTTTCCAACTTTCCAACCACATTAATCTTCCTATTCATAAATTCTAGACAGTGGCAAGTTTTGATTGGGGTGTGCATGGCAGAGGGCAGGGGAGGGGTCAAGACTTCAGTCATGGACATATTCATTTTGAAATGCCTATTATACATTCAAGGGGAGATGTCAAGCAGGCAATTGGCTATCTAAGTCTGGAGTTCTGGGCTAGAGCTAGAACTTGGAAGTAAGCCACATAGAGCTGGTATTTAAATTTATGGAATTGTATGAGATTGCTTAGGGTGAGAGTGAAGAGGAAAAAAAAGGATCCAAGATGAAGTCCTGAAGAACACCAGAATTTAGAAGTCAGTTAGAAAAAGAAAACCGAGTAAAGGTAAGCAAGAAGGAATGTCCAGAGAAGCAGGGAGAAAACCAGGGAAACTAAGAGAAGAGTTTCTAAGAGGAAGTGCTTCATTCATTCAGTATATATTAAGAGGCTACTGGGGGGAGGATAGCTCAATGGTAGAGTGCATGCAAAGCATGGGTTCAATCCCCAGTACCTCCATTAAAAAAAGGGATGATGGTGATGATGATAATAATAATAATAATGGGTCTGTTCAATGCTGGGCTCTATTTTAGGCACAATAATAAGAACAGAGCAAAGCTTATAATGAGGAAGGCAGGCAATAAAGAAATAAACAACTATGTATATAATAAGATGTCTGAACATTTCATTGGACAGTAAGTCCAATGAAGAAAAATAATGCAGGATAAGGGAATGGGGACTGATGGAAGACGTAGTTTTAGGGTGGTCAAAAATGGCCCTATTTGAGGAAAGGAAATTTAAGCAAACAATTTAAGGAAGTGAGGAAGCAAACCATGAAGGTGTCGGGCAAAGAGCATCCCAGGCGAAGGGAACAGCAAGTGCAAAGATTCCAATGTTGGTATCTGTCAGGGATATTTGAGGAACAGCAAAGAAAGTCTGTTACTGTGAATTGAGCAAAGGGGAGAGCAGAGAGGATACTGGAGAGGGAGCTTGGGCCAAATCACGTAGGGCTTACAAGGCCACAGTAAGGATTTTGGATTTCAATCAAAATAGGTGAGAAGCCACTGGAAATTTGGATGGCTTCTACTGTTTTTTTTTTTAATATTAAGTATGAGGTGTGATTTTCAGCAGAGTGAGTGTTATGAAACCACCCAAGGAGACACAGCATTTTAATGTTGTGAAAATGTTTTTTCTCATGCTATTTATCTCCTGATGCTAGTTTAAGTTAAGCCCCTGACAGTATAGTTAGAATGCATCCTCCAACCTGTGCTGATAATAATAGTGATAATTGCTAACATTCATTGAAAGCTACTGTGTCAGACTTTGTGCTAAACACAGCATAAGGGTTATCTCTCTTCTTCATAACAACCCTTATGACATAGATTCTATGATCCTCCCCATTTTGCAGAATGGGAAGCTGAGGCTCAGAGCAGTAAAATGACTTCCCCAGGGTGCACATTCCCCATGAGTGGCTCTGGCCTCTGAGATTCCTGCTTCTTTACACTAGTAGTCCAAGCTGTTCATTAGAGATGCTCAAGGATGTTTACTACCCAGTGCTCTGCAGAAAGAAAAGGGAATTCCCAAGTTCCCCACCCTCTCTAGATATTGCCTGAATGCACACCACGTTCTTGAGTAACTCAGCCTGAAGTCAAGTTGAGTCCTCCTGCTTGCTCAGACTATCCCCATGCAAACTTTGTTAGGTCACATGGATCCTACTTCTTGTGTCTCCCTGTAATGTCCCTTTCACATCTGTCTGCTTCAAATTCCTGCTACCCCATAGCTCAGTCTTGGTGCGTGTCCCTTCTTGGGTTCTTGTAACGAGCTCCCCCATGGAAGAGGCCTCTGCCTGTTGTTTCTCTTTCCACCAATACATCCTACACCCTGTGACCACAATAACTTGGCGGAAATACACATGTGATCTTGTTCTTCTGCTCAGACACCCTATGGGTGCTCCACTGCCGGCAGCATTAAGCCCAGACCTGGTAGCCTGGCTCCCCTTGGGCTGACCTCAGCCTACCTTCCCAGCCTCCTTGCTGACTCATACTCCTGGCAGCAGGCCCCGCTCTCACCTTGGCCCGCTGCTTGTGCATCTGCACTACCTCCTGCTCCACTTCTGCTGTTAGAAATTCTGCCCAGATCGTGTTTAAGACTTAGCTCAGGGGTCACCTTTTCATGAAGACATCTCTCTCCAGCACTCCCGATGGGTAACTGACCCCTCCCCCTTTGTTCTCCCACCATCCCTGGTGCATGTCCTAATATAGGCCCTGTCACACTATCAGATTTAAAGGCTATATCTGTCTCTCCCTCACCCCAACACACACACACACACACACACACACACGCACACGACTACAACTCAACTGTAAACTCTCTGACAGTAGAGGCTGTGACTCATTCATCTTTGAAATCCTACTCACCCTGAACTTCTAAACAGCAGAGTGTCTAAAATATAGTAGGTGCTCAATGAATGCATATGGAATAAATGAATGAATTCAGGGAAGAAGATGAGGAAAAGGGAAGAAGGCCCTGAAACGGTTTGTAATTAATTAGACAAAAAAATACAGATTGATCTCTGTGCATAGGGCCCCAACTCAGAACTGGAGTAGGGGTACAGAATTAGCAATTCTATGAGAGAGCCTCGCCCCACGACTCCAACACGAAGGTCAAAGCTGCTGTGCTTTAACACAAGCTTTCAAGGGCCCACAAATGACCCTTCTGTTGTTTGAGTGGCTTCCTTTCACGATGCTCAGTGTTTTGGCTCTGTTGTTCCAGCTCCCTTACCTGCCTGTTTTCTGGGGGTGAGGTCTTTGTGTGACATACTTATTCTGGCTAACTTCCCTTCTTTGGGCTTCATCTTTGACCTGTGCCAGTGGAGAAGGCCTCTAGGACAATGCTTCTGGCTTAAACACCAAGACCTAGCACTCAAAGCCTTGATAAAATACAGCAACACACACTTCCTTCTTCCTTCCCACTTTGGGCTAAAGGATGCTGCCTGACCACTAGAATTGCCTTTGCTGCTCATCTAGGGGGCTATTGATGCTGTTCTGGTTTCCAAGGGATGCTAACACTGAAACAGAACAGAAACAAAAGCAAAAACTGGAGACACAGCAGCCTTACTTCATCTTTGGCTCTGTAACTCACAAAGAAATTATAGGTTGAACTGTCAGTCAGTAAGGGCTCCCAGGGCTTCAACTGCTCATAATTAACTTGATTAACAGCTCACAATTGAGACAGGATGAGAGCAGGTGTACATTTGGGGGCTTTGTAACTGGCTAAAGATACAGGCTTGACAAAACACCTGTCACCCCTTCTTGCTGACTCTTTCCTTCCTCCAGGGATGTCCCAGAGATTAAGCTGTGGCCCAGATGTATCTTTTGTCCAGCAACTGTTTCTACACCGTAGAAACATTAGAGCATACAGAAATCTAAGAAGAAAATAACAACAGAATGACCATCCTACCCAAATTAACCAGTTACTCTTTTGTTTTTTCCATTGTCTCCTATTTAAGTGCATTTTCCATGTTTGTGACCATGCTCTACCTACAATTTGATGTCCTGCTCCTTTTTTCTGCACCTCATCCTTGGATGGGCCTGTGGGGAAAGCAATGTTGGAGCCCTAACTCAGGAGGCTGCCCACTGTTGGCAGGGGTCTGGCTTCGGAATGCAACCAGCAGACATCACCTAATCCTGCACCCCGCACCACCGCAGCTTGATTTTGAAGCCTGAGACAGCAGGCTCTTGAGTTAAATCTGCTTCAAGTACGTTGAATTTTCAGCACATTCTCCCAATCTTTTACTTATTATATACTTACCATGGTTCTTGGCAGTATAGCTTAAAAAAATGTTTTTTGGCATCATGCACTTTATATTTGCATTTCCTTTCTTTAAAGCATTTTCTTAATGAAACAATTTATTTTTCAATAGGATAGGGCTTGAAAATGTTTCCAGTTTTGAGTACAGGGTGCCTCAAGTCACCAGTATTTATTTATTTATTTACTTACTTATTTATTTTTAGTTTCTCACTTTAGATTTTTTTTTGTATTGAAATATAGTTGATTTACAATGTTTTGGGTGTACAGTAAAGTGTTTCAGTTATATATATGTATATATATATCCACATATATATTTTTTCAGATTCTTTTCTATGTAGGTTATTATAAGATATTGAATATAGTTTCCTATACTCTGCAGTAGGTTAGATTTTTTAAAAAAAAATCATAATTCATTGAAGGTGGTTTTGAAGATATAGGGGATGGAGAAGATAACAACCTGAAAAGGTAGCACAAGGGAAGGAAAGATGAGCAAAACCTCGATAAGAAGCATGGTATCTGTTTTAAAATCACATCTCATAGATTCCTCCTGGAAGTTGAGATCAGAGAGGAGGAGAAATGTGATATTATCTGTGTGCTTTAAAAAGACCTACGTTCAGCAGAATTCATGTGCATGCATGCCTATGTGCCTGCAATGAAATCATGTTTTAGAGAGGATTCAGCTGCATTATATTTATAACTCTGTGGTTGCTACCAGCTACCAGCATGTCTCCTTGCGGTGGTTCAATTCTCTTTTCTCCATGTCCTAATTCTGTTCTAAAGGGTACAGCTTTGGCGGAGCAGCCTGTTAGTCCCCACTTTCTCCCCATCATACACAATTCCAGTGGTGGCTTCCTGGGAGTCCTGATCTGGTCCCACACAGTCCTACATGCTGACATCTCTGTTTGCAGGAGGAAGTTAGAAGTGTTGGGGATCCAGCCCCTTCTCTTGGTGGTGAAAAATTCATCTCTATAGGGGTTCTGTCTTATTTGGCCAGGATAATGGACAACTGGAGCTTAACCAGATCTGAATCGCTAACATCAATTCGACAGCTTCCTGGGAAAACAAAAAAGTGATTAGGTAGTGCTTCTTAAACATGAGCGAGCTTCAGAAGCACTTGAGTAAGGCAGTTAAAATGCAGATTTCCAAGCCCCACCAGGAGCTTCTGATCTTACAAGGATTTTTGTAGAGCAGGTAATCTGCATTTAAGCAAAGACTTTGATGTGATTCTGATGCCAGAAGTTCAAAAACCACACTTGGAAGAGCACCAGGGTTCTGGGGTTGTATCCTGCTACCACCACCAACACAGCAAACTAACACCACTGTCCCACTCTCCTCCTTCCTCCATTCTTTAGGCTGCATGTTTTGAATCATTAGGTGTACCTTTGAAGTTTCTCTTCATCCTCCATCACCTTGGTAATAACATGTGCGTTGGGGAGGGGCACATATGTGATTCGGCCCAACTTAGTATCTCCTTAGGGATGGCCCAGGCCCCACCCACTCAGGAAGATGCTGACCAACTGCACTTCTCTTGCTAGAAGATAGTCACGCGGAGTGCTCCACAGAAAACAAATTCCTGGGGTGATGGACAAGACCCCTGCGTTCTGTGATTCACTCTGGCACAAGCTCTTCCTCAAGTGCCCTGACTCCTTGCCTACGACGTACAGAGGCACAAACTCCAGGCACACATTCAAAGCTCACTTCTGGGAGCTTTCACTCTCTACTTTCCTTGAATATCCAGGTTCCCTTTGCTCAGTCCAGCTCCCATTCCCAATTTCTTAGCTCTCACGTCCAAGTTTTGCATAAGACAGCATCATTATGTATGTTTAGATATTAAACACTATTCAAACTCTCATGCAGTGTGCCTGTGCCCATACACACACGTATGGTAAATGTGTGCAAATAATTTGTAGACAATGCAATGCATCATCCTATCAACTCTCTGGCCTAGATGTTCCTTTAATAGTGCAAAGGGGATATGCTTTGGAGTCAAAAAAAAAAAAACCTCGATTCAAATCCTCCGTCTGCCACTTACTAGCCACCTGGTCTTAGAGAAGTTAAATTCTCTGGACCTGAGTTTGCTCATTAGGATTAAATGAGAAAGCTTGTAAAACATCTAGGGCTGTGTGTGCAGACCCTAGTAGGAAACCTACAAATGTCAGGTACCTCCTTTATTTCTATTGTCTATTTTTATTCATTTATGCATGTACATATGTATTTACTTTTGTATATGAAAGGAAATAATCCTCCAGATCTCTCTCACAAAGCATATTAGTCAGTGTTCTTAACTGGAAGCATCAGAAATCATCTCTGGCCAAAATAAGCAGAGGGAATTTATGAGAGGATACTGGGTGGCTCACCGAATTGCCAGGAAGGCTAAAGAGCCAGATGTGGAAAATGGGCTGGAACCCGGAGAGGCTACACAAGGAAGACCACAGCCAAAATCACACCTCAGAGTAGTCTGCTGGCTGGAACTGTACCACTGCTGGCCATGGACACCGGATGCCTCTGCGCCCTTAGTGGCTGAACCGATTCCCCACTGTCTCTGCTTCCTACATCACATCCTCTCAATTCAGAAATCTCTGGGTGAGAGGGTCGCTGGCCATGCCCAGGACCCGGGCCTGTACTTCAGCTGCTGCGGTCAGGGAGATGGTTCTAGACTTTTTGGCTTCTGCAGTTCCTTAAAATAAGTTCCTTAAAAATAAGAAGGGAATTCAGATGTCAGGCAACCATGAAAGACCACTGTCCAGAGTCAGTTCTCACCGTTTCTGATATTCCTATCTCATCCCCGTTTCATGTATACGTACACTCATTTCTAAGTGTGTGGAGTCTTTCTCTCCAGGGACTCTCCTGAAGCCTAGATCTGTTTTCGGAGGAATTTTATGCCTCTCTGCCTTGTCTCCTTTCTTTCCTCTGCCCAGAATTCCTCCTGCCCTGCCCCCTGTCCACCAACCATCCCTGAATAGCCCAAATCTTGCCTAGTCTGCAAATGCCCATTGAGATGTTACCCCTTCTTAGTTGTTGTGTTCCCCACTCCCCCCACCCCCTTCACTAAACTGTTCCTTGCTTCATGTTCTGAGGGCATGTTCTCCATATCTCCATTATCGCATTTGCTCTGTTTCCATGTTTAATGGTCTGACCTTTCTCCCTCTCCTTGGACCCAAGATGAGGCTTCTTAATGGCAGGAAGTCTCATCTTTGTAGCCTTGGTTGTCATGAAACACATACATTTAGAATCCTTTCCTACACAAACAAGACAAATCCTTTTTTTAAAAAAATGTTAAGTAATCCATGCGTATGAGCCCTGCAAACTGTAAAGCGTTAGACAAATGCACCAAGACCAAAAAGCGAGTAAGTGTTGGACAAATGTAAGCCATCTAATTGTTCACTTCACTCCAGTTTTACATATTTTCTGTTAAAGAGCCGTGTGCCCTTATCCTACCTCACAACGTTTCAACGGGAGAAAGTTAGGACGCGGGATTCCCGCCTACGTTTTCCAGTTCTGCGGGGGCCTCTTGGTTCCTTCCACCGTCAAACAGGGAAGGGGGCGGAGCGGCGGGAATTGGGGTGGGGGTGGGGGGTTAAAGCAAAGCACACACAGTCGCCCAGCGGACTTGCTGACAAGTTATGCTAAGTCCCTACAGGTCCCCACCCTTGCAGCTCTGTCCCTCTCTCCCAGTTCAGATGGCCGCAGCCACGTGCGTACCCAGACTCCCCCTCCTCGAGTCCCCAGGAGCGCTTCTGGCTCGGTCCCGAACGCTCGCTTGGCTGGGAGAAGCCGCGCAGCCCGCCGGCCACCTCCCCCGCGCCCCCTCTCCCCCGTGTACTTTGTCACTGCGCGCTGACCTCCGGGCCGCAGGGGCGCGCACGTGACCGAGAAACTTTGGAAGCCCCG